TGTGCTACTGGTCTCCTAGGGGTGTAGCCCCCTTTGCATGTTGACTGATCCACGAGAAGGACAGACATGTTCTTCCTTGGGCAGATGTTGGGAACGAAGCAGGCCCGGGGAAAAGGAAAAGACCGTAAATAACAACCGCATGTATATTTTCTGAACCGCTGAAAAGTCATTGTTTAATTAATTGCCCTTTCACTTTATTTTCTTGGGGAAATCACCGGGTAACTGGAAACGGGCTCGGGCCAGGGATGGACCTTTATTCTGAGTCAAACATGTTTATGATGAGTTCTGTAGTCTGAAACTGGGGGAACAAAAGGCTTATTCTTCAGTTCCCAGAATGAGGACTGACAGCGCAACAGCCTTGCTTGCTGTTGTCCTGCAACATCAGATAATTTTTCATCAAGGTTTTTTTTCCAAGATGATATGTTCCACCGTATTGAAACATCCATTTTGATGGTGGGAAAACTCTTACCCTTTGAAAGTTTTTTTTTAATAAGTAACCTTTAATATTTTTTTTCCCCTCAATCGAATGAAAGGAAGGATACGAATCCAAACAGGACCCTGTTATCCTAGTGGTCCACCAGCAGAGGGGTTGCCTGTTGTCCCACACTCGCTCCAGAAGTGATTTGGTTGGGAGGCAGTGCTTGGGTTTGCCCAGTTCTGCCCATGGGCCTTCGGGCTGTTGTGTGCGTCCAGGTGCCCAGCCTACCAAATGGGTACTTCTGAGACGCAGCCCCATGCGCAGAGTGGATTTGGGAGACAATTTTTTTCCTTTTTTATGTAATGTTTTCATTGTCATCCAGTGTCCTTACAGTAGGAAGCCATGGGTGTGTTGGAAGAAAAATTGGAAGTGAAATAGCAAATATAAGAATATAAAAACAATAAAATATCAATTCTGTTGACATTTGCTATATTTCGCTCAAGTTAATAGAAGATCAATGAAAATATTCACATTAGAGAAGACAAGGAAGTTGCTTGTGATTTCTGCTTACATTGGTTGTTTAGTGGTAACAGATTCCCATGCAGGCTTGGGCAGCAGGTGGGGTCAGTTGCGATAGAGCACGTGTTGTCTTTCTGGGTTCTTTGCTGACTCTGGACACCGACTTGGTCTACAGCAGGCTTTGGGGTTGGCCTCCTTTGTCTCTAGCAGGATTGATTGACGGGTGTTTGTTGTGTCTGCTCCTTTTCTGCATTCTTCTCAATTCATGAAAAAAAAAAAATACTTACTCCGAGTCCCTTGTATACCTCATTTTTGCAGAAGAAAGTTGGCCAGCCTGTGTGTCCCCTTAGTTAATGGAATCTCTAGAGCTTTCTTTCAGCCCCCAGGGCTCTCTATTAGGTCATCCCAGTCGTTTCATGCACAGAGAGCAACACCAACAGCAAGATTTAACATTTGGTCCTTTTAGGTACAAAGATGAATCAAATGCATGACGATATTTGTTTATGGTATAGATTTCAGCAGCCTCCATCCCCCCCCTTTATGGGCACACAGCAAATGTAACGAACGGGTACTTTTAGTTTTTAAAATATGGACAGCAGTACTCCATGCAGTAAAAGACTTGAGCGATTAATGCTACCCTTATGCCTCTTTTGAGTAGTTTTAGCCATGGGGCTTGGCACTGCCACCATTGTCTTGGTGCCAAAAAATATCCGCAGCGGCTGTCGCATTCTAGTACTGGAGGGTTGTGTCGAAAATTCCGCAGTGAGCGTGCCGGGTTTGTTCAGCACTGCTATCTCTTTTCAATATTGGAAAAATGGACTCCTTAGCTCTTTCTAAGCTCTGTTGTGGTTGTGGAGATGGTTAAGGGGGTGGAGGGTGAAGAATGGAAAAGGAGGAGAGGAACTGTGAGCACCAGCTCCTTGGTATAAGTGGCAAAAATCCATGCCTAACATAGGGGGAACACATATTTGGGGCTTTTGTGTTCATGAACACAGATAGTTACTTAAGAGTCCTCCTCAAATAGGCTATCAATGTTCTTGGAAATTTTATTATATGAAAGAAATGTTCCAGTGAATTTTAAGCAGAAAATCAACATCAAGACCATAGCTAATTTGTAATGGACAATTTGCACAAAGGTACAATTTTTTTTTTTCTTCTAGAAGCAGAGGTGTCATTTTAAAATGGCTGCTGTTTGTCCCTGAGAGATGATCGGAGTGGCTCTTGTCTATTGGGGATGGTCGCGTGGGTTTTCTCCACAATCCCTGGTTATTTTGTTCCCAAACAGGGGTTTGGGCTCTGAGGGCAGATTTATAGTTGAATTTGGGAACAAAAAGATGTAATAAAGTTAAAGGCTTACACAATCAGAATGCAATGTGTTTGCTCCTCATCTCTGGAGCGATCTATTTGATGGTAAAAGTGGATGCTCCAGATGAAATCTTCACCAGGAGCATAATCCTTCAAAAAAAAATAATAAATAAAGAAGGGGGCCACCTCCCAGCCTCCTGCTGCTGCGCTGCCGCTCTGGTACCTCGCAGACTTCGACAGAGTCCTGGACGGGTGCCCATTGATGTCATGGAAACACTCAAATTACTGAGAATGATTCATGTCTATGCTGGTCTCTTATCCTCCCCCACACAAACAGGAGTAGATTTTTAACCCTGACAACTTGTAATTTGCAGTGGGTTTATTTTTGTATCTGGATAAATATTTTTTAGCAAGCAAAATTAAGATGCAGCAGTCTGTATCTGATATGATAGGAAAGGACGCTGGGTCCAGGCAGCAGCCAGGAGTGCTTGGGGGGCTGTGCGCTGCGGGGTGCAGAATCTGCGTCTCTCCCCTTCCTCCCTGTGTGCTCGCCCCCCTCTGCTTCTCCTCTCCCACCTATTTGCCCTCTCTTTTTTAAATCCTCCCATTTGCTTTGCTCGTTTAGCTTTAAAATAATGGAAGGAATAACCCAACTTTTGGGTGTGAAGTGAAGCAAATCCTGGCAGGAAAAATTTTGCTTTCCAGCCCTGTGTCCTGGAGTCCAGTCGGGAAATAGCGCTGACCGTAGGGCTTGGCTTAGGTAATTCTTCCTGGAGGAAACAATGGTTGGTCTTTCTTACTGCAACTGTATTTTACAGTTCATTGTCTATAGGAATTGCAGAAATGGGACATACAATTTTCGATTTCTTATGAAGTCAGAGCAGAGTCTACTGTATTTATCCTCCTTTTTTTCCCTGCCATTCCACATCCCTGACCATCCACCTGTCTATCTGTTGCTGAGTGAGTGAATATCATGTAGAATTAAGTATGCAGTGATTGCATGGAGAATGTTTTAGATGCAAGAGCGTGAAGAAGGACATGGGTCCTTTGATACAGTGCAAACAATGTATGTTGGTAATATTTATCAAGACAAGTTGAAAATTGTAAGCAACTTTGGTTTGACTTACATGACTAACTGTGTGTGATGATTTGCTCTGTCATAGCAAGGATTGCATCCTTTCCTCCCTGGGAAGGCCCCTTGCAGTGAAACTTATTTTCTTAGCCCTTTCAAGACAGTCTAGGGGATGGTGTTTTATTTCAGTGGAATTGAAACTGATCTGAGCATTGATTTTATACTTTGTGCTGTGTGCTCTACCAGAAATGGGGTTGAGGGAATGTTTTTCCAAGGTTGTCATTCATTGAAATCAGTGGAAAAGTTAATATTGGGTATGGGAGTGTTAATTTTTGAGACTTAGGTTGGCTTTCTTTGAGACTCGTCTTTCATTTAATTGGTAGCTGTATAGTGACTTAGGTACAGGGTGTCTATTTGACCAAATATGAAATTTATCAGATATATTTTTACTGTGGTATCAGGCAGACAGGTTCTCACAGCACTGTGGATTAACCAAAAGATAATAGACTGTTGTTACCTTTGACATTTTTGCTCACTTGGGTTGAAGGAAGAAACCCGAGACCTGTAAACCTTAAAAGGTCTGTTCTGTCTTTCAAAATACAAGTTTTGAAAAGAAAAGGACACTCCTTCGCATAGTCTGATATGCCTTATTGCTTTGGTCTGGGAGAAAGAAGTGGCCTTCAGTCATGAAGGTGAAATCCTGGCTGGGGGGCTTCCTCATTCCCTATCCCCCTTAATGTGCTGGGACAGACAGATTTTTTATGGTGACTCTTCCTCTTGTTAGCTGGATTCTACTGTGTATATCTCTTGCAAGGTGATTTTATTAACCACCCTATGGATTTTTATGGCTAAATATACTTTAAGAAGGAACGAATGTGTAGTCTTGATTTTATCCTTTGATGCGGCCTCTGGCATTTGTGAACTCTGTGCATCACTGAGGAGCAGTCCACAGATTAAAATGGGGTGGTTGGAACAAGATGTTTTCATATCCCTTGATGCCCTTGTCCTGCTGAGCCTCCTGGTAGGATCTGAACTTGGGATCACTGTGAACAATTTTTCAGTAAAACTCTTTCCCAAATGTAAATTTCATCATTGTCTTGGTCATGATGGGATTTACTTTGCTCCTGAGAGAGGGAGGGGAGAGAAGGGAGAGGGAGAAAGAAGAGAGAGGGGAGAAAGATTCCAAATTTTGAATAGTTTCTTTGCTAAATTCACCATCTGGAGAGCCTGTGATTGATTAGCTTTGGCCTCCCCATTAAGTGTCAATATAATCAATGGAAATTACTAGGCTAGGGTCATTACATAGATAATTTGCCTGCTGTGTAAATAAAAATGAAATTGTTCAAATTTCGTGAGAGAGAAAGAAAGTGAAAATACGGACTGACAATTTGTTTGTGAGAGAAAGTGGAGGCCATTGGAATGACAGTTTTTGGAAGTGTGGAGCAGTTTGGCTAAGAATAGGAATGAAGGATATTTTCTTCCAGTTTATCACAGCCGGAGTGAGGAAGTGCTGCTGCCTTTCTTGCTTGCATACATTGACTGCTTTACGTACGTAAACATCGGGAAGAGCAGTGCGTGTCTGTTACCTGAAGGAGTGGTTTGTGGTGTTTGTTTTTTGTTTGTTTGTTTGTTTTGTTTTTTAAGGGAAAATACCGTTTTACAATTTTGTGTTGTTTCTCTTGGCAGGTAAAACGGAAAGGGGCTCCTACTCATCTTATGGGAGAGAATCAAACTTACAGGGTTGCCACCAGGTGAGTGAGAACGTGGCTGGAGGCCGGGTTTGGGCGGTGGCACCTGGGCTGTCAGCTTGTGGGTGTGTGTGGTTGTGCATGTTCAGTGCGACCCTGACATGAGCTGATAGTCTGTCTTGAACGAGAGAGTGCACAGAGCTCGGGGCTGATCCACACTTGGTCTCCAGCTCTCTGCTCTATCAGAACCAGATTCATTGGCTTGTTTTGATTCTTCAGTCCATCAGCCGGGACCCGTAGTACTGTTTGCAAACGAGCAATGCCAGTTAAAGTGGCTCTATCAAAAGAGTTTATTTGCAGTTAAGAACTTCAGGATTTCTTCCACAGGAAACGCTTTGTGGAGGCATGTGTCAGACCCTGGGTTTGGGTGGCGATTGGCGATTGCCCTAAATTATAGTTTTCATAAGGGCTGTATGATGCTGTGTGAAAACAGGGTTGTATTGAGGGATAAAAATGTCTGTGAAAATATGATTTGTTGTCCCTTTTTGTTTCTGAATTGTTTTTGGCTGGAAGTCAAGGCCAGCAGGCTAACAGCAAAGCCGTCTCAGGGGAGGCATGCGCGAGCTAGAAAAATAAGAGAACTTTAATTAAATAATAAAATGCCAGTGTAATACAAAGGTGCGGCGTGTGAGTGTGTGTTTGTGTCTGTGCAGTCTGCATTTGTGTACTTTTACTCTCCAGGGAGAGGCCATTTCTAAAAATATCAGCGATAGGAAAAAGCATAGGCTTTGTTTTAAGACAGTTGAGATTTTATAAATGTTTTCTTGTTGATTTCAGCCCCGGTGTGTGTCATATATTAAAAACCTTTCAAAAACCTTTCATACCTCCTTTTTACAAGTGCCTTCGTTTCTTACTTAGGAAAACTCTGATAGAATCTGATCACCCTCTTTACAATTCGAACCCCTTTAGTGTTTTATTAGTTTAGCACAGAAGGGGCATTCTTTTTTGTGCTGGAAGGGTATACCTTGTGAACTCTTTTAGCCTCCTGTTTTCTTTAGTGATATGGGAGAAAAAAAATCAATTTGGAATTTTCAATCATTCTGTTTAATATATCTGAAAAATGTAAGCACACATTTATTTTTGTAATCAAACACTGCCTGGAAAGGAAGTTGTTGGTTTTTTTTTTTTTTTTTTTGCACTTAGCACTAAAGGTGGAATTCTGGTGGGTTGGGTCCCCCTCCCTCCCCTCCGTATATATTTGCATTTTTAAAGTTTACTCCTCTGGCCCGGTTACCCGTACAGTCATATTCGGCATCTGAAAGATTTGTTGCGATGAGGTGAACGGTGCTTGGTTAAGCAGTCCTGCCGGAGTGCAGTTCATGGCAGTTTGTTTGGAAAGAATTCTGCAGGAAAGAAATTTATAGCCATTCCAGTGCAACGGAAACATCTTTGGAATGTGAGTGCAAATGTTGGGGATAGATAGCCTGGGCGACACGCCACTCCGTGCCGCGTCTCTGGTGGAGCGCTCGCATCCCTGCGCAAGAGCCTGTTCCTGTGGATCTGGTTTCTGAGGGTCAAGGCGGAGGGCATCAGAGTTTTTGGGGGAGAAGAAAGTTGACAACATCCTTCCTTTCCGCAGATGGTCCTGGCAGAGGTCTCTGTTTTCACGGGGCCCCTCTGGCTGGTCATTGAGAGAACACGCTTCCTCGCCCCTATATCCTGTCTTCCTAATGGGAGTCGGTGTGATTCCTCACAGACACAAAGATTTCCTCTGCTGAGTAAGCGTGAGGCCCCTTAACTTGGGAAAGCATCCTCTAGACCGTGTGAGGTGGCTGGCTGTGTGTGCAGCACACAGACCCACCTCCCTCTGCTCGCGCGGAACACTTCCCGCGCGTGAGACTGAAGTTCTTTTTTTTTTTCAAACACAAGGTGAGAAGTGGCAGAGGGCAGAGGGTGGAGCGAGGCGGTCGGCTTGCTTTGTCATGGCTGAATTCCTGGGCCTTGGGAGGTTCGTTCTGAGACAGCTGTGCCCAGGCACATTCTTCTTGTATCAAGAGGACTGACTGCCTATGCTTTCCTTGAAAAAGTCTTCGTGGTGTGGTGCATTCTGATTTCCTCTTCATGCTTGTGAGCCCTGCGAGAAGTGCCTGGGCTTAGCGTGGTTGCGGCAGTGTCCCTAACAGTGTGATTGCTTCAGGAAAAAATAAAAGTGAAGATTTGGAAATTGGCTGATTGGGGAAATAGGTGCTGGAAGTAGGAAGTGTGCATGGTATGAATTTCTGCTTTTTTTGTGTGTATGTATGCAATTTGAGAATAGAAAAGCCCCACACTGTGGCTTCCAGGGAATCAGCCTCTCTTGTGCCGTGTTGTTCTTTGAATCCCTGTCTCCAAACCAGCCATGCAGTCCAAAAAGAAAGACACGGGCTCCGTGTCTTGGGCTTCAAGTTTAAATAGCAGATCACAGCTGAAATGATTCCTCACTGTGTGACCTGGTGAGTGACTCCTCTGGGGAGGGAAAGCTCGCTCGCGTGCTGTCTGTCTCCTGTTTACCATTTTATCGAGATGCTAGAGAAAACAAAATCTAGATGAAGTCCCTTGCAAAGCTCCCAAAGCTGCTTTATTTGTCGTAACGATGTGTCCGTTTCCCACGGGAGCATGCTCCTTCCAGCCCAGCAGCCTCCTTACTGGTTCGGGGACTGGTGGTGGTCAGCAACAGGTAGTACGGCGCTGCCCCCAACCGATAAATCATTACTGCAATATGTGTGCCGCTTCGCAAATACATCTAGTTAAAAATTATGCGTTTATTTGTAGATTTCCATTATGACTATCTTAAGGATGTAATGCTAATGGTGATGCACATTTTTTTTTAGCAGAAAAAAATTATAAAATATTACAGAGGATCTTTATTTTCAGTTAAGTGCGTTTCATTTTAAAAGTAGTATTGTGAAAATCTGGATTCATTAGTGCATTCCCTGTCAAATCAGTCATATATAAGCATGGTGACTTTTTGGGAATTTTCCAGTTGTATAGAAAATGAACTTATAGGCAAACAAAATTGGCTAAATAATGACTTTCCTTTTGTTTTTGTGAACTATGGGGAAACTAATTTAAATAAAATTGGGGTATGAAAATCACACGCATGTTTAAGTTTTCCTGCCGAATTGCAAACTTATACTGCTTTTATGGACTTAAAAAATAAAAATTTTCAACGGAAAGTCTGACAGAAATGAAAATTAGTAGAAATAAACTATTTTGCAGGTTGGACTTACCATGTTCTTATAACCAATAACTAATATCTACAATGGTTATCATTGTAAATGACAGAGTGAACAAATATAATGAGATTTTATTCTCTTTTTCTGCTTTGAATAGGGTGTTTAACGATGTGCAAACTTTATTTTGCTGAAATCCACTGTTTTTTGACGAGATGATGATGATTTCAACACAAATGATCATTACTTGGGAGAAAGATTCCTTCTTAAATGGAAGTTCAGTGTTGATGACCAGGAATGACCTGAATGGAGCCTGAGTCTCAAGCCATGGCTTTGTTACTGATCTCCCCTGGACAGGATAGGGGCTGGTGTGTGTATGAGATAGACAGGGCAGGGCGGAGTAGGGGAAGAAAAGAGAAGAGAGAAAGAGAAAAACTGAGAGAGAGAGACAGAAGTTGGGGTCCTATCTGAGACCAGTTGCATTAGAATTTTTTGTGTTGGGCCTCCTAAGAAGTCCTGGTTTTCTGCACTCCTAAGTGATTGATTCTTACGTGAAACCAGATTGGGTCATCTCCTAGAGTGGGCTTTGAAAATATACTGCAGTTTAACTTGTGCTGAAGTCTGGCATTGCCACTGACCTTGAAAAAGCTTTTAGACTTCTTGCCTTAATTTGATTATTGAAGGTGTGGAAACATATTACAGATGATTTTCATTTAAAGTATAGTCATTACTGATAACAGGTAAGAAATCAGCAGATACCTTGAAATTTTAATGCACAATTCCACAGTGGAACATCCGAGTCTGTATCATGTTTTCTGTGGTGAAGGCCAAGGCTTTAACCTCATGAATTCTTCGTCTTCCTCAGAAAGCAATCAAACAAGCCTGTGCCGCTCCAGTTATTTGATGTTTAGATCTTAAAACCAATCGATCGGATGTGAGAGTTAGGCCTAGTCTAGGATACTGGTTGTTAAATGCCAGAAACTTTACAGTTGAGCAGACCAGTCTTCTTTGTATGTAACTTGCTTTGTTTCTAAGCCTCCTCATTTTTGAGTCATTTAAATTAAACACATAGTTGATTCTGAAATGAATTGCACAGTTAAGAATTGATTTTCCCCCTTAATTGTTTTTGATACAAAAAAGTATCACAACTGACTCAATTCTAAAACTTCTGCCTCTTTCAGTTTTTCTTATCTAGAGTCAAAATTGAAATCAGGAAAGGAGCCAAAAAAGGGGCACAAACTCCTTCTCTGTGTGTGAAGATGACCATGTGGGCACGTGTGAACCCAGTGCATGCTGTTCTGCTCAAATGCTTACTCTTTGTGTTCAGTGACTCTGTGCAATTCCTGTGCATTGTTCTCCCAAGATCCTCTCTCACACAGGGACCCTGCTGCGTGTGGCCAGATACGGCCAGCTCGCTCCGTGTTTTCTTCCTGGTGGGTGTTTTTGAATTTGTTGTTATTCATGTGTTTGTTGAACTCTGGTTTCCACCAGGTTTCTGTATACTCTTAGAGGTCAGGGGTCATGTGTATTTTTTTTTTGCCCAGTGTACCATGTGCTTAGCAGGCAAGAGCTATTAATGGTGTAAGGTTTACTAGGAAACTTGAAAAAGTTTGTGGAAGGGGGAATTAAAACAGAAGTTCATTTCAGTACATGCAGACAAAAAAGTTGAAACTCATGCATACTTTTTTCGTGATATTTGCCTTGAACTTTTCGAAGACTTGTCATGTTTATTCAGTGTATCATTTGGAGACCATTTTGAAGGAGGAGAGATTCAGGTGCACTGCGCGTGCATCATGGAGTGTGCACAGGGAACACTGCTCCTCGGAGCAGGGCCTGCGGCTGCCGTCGCTA